TTCCTGAGGATTTAAAAGTTGAAGTGCAGATCTAGCAGGCCACAGACTTGTCCCTTTACCTTTTCTCTTCTCGCCCATACCCAGAAAAGAACCGAGCTAGCCTCGCAAGCAAACAGCTTTATCATTTCCTTAGAACTGCCCGAGAATGTCAATTCTGGGATGCAGCTCTGAAGTAAGAAGGGTGTCTGGAGGCTAATTTGGCTGAGAGGCAGTGGCTGAGTCAGAGGATGGCCTCAGGAAATTATTAGGCAAAGCCTGGTGGTTGAGCTGGAGTAAACAGGAGAAAAGTGCATCCTCCCCAATGGCACACTGAACGGGGAAAGGGAAGCTCAAATGTTGTGTGTCTAGTACTTGAGTAGTTCTAAACCTTTACAGACACAATGAGATCCTATAAGAATCACCGCCCAGTCTTAGCTGGGTGGTGGTGGTGCATGCTTTTAATCCCAGCACCTGGGAGGTAGAGGCAGACAGATCTCTGTGAGTTCGAGGCCAGCCTGGTCTACAGAGCGAATTTGAGTTCCAGAATGGCCGGGGGTTACACAGAGAAATCCTGTCTTGAAAAACAAAGGACCAAAAAATAAAATAAAAGAATCTAGTCTTGCCTACCTCTCCAACTTCTTGCCCTCTAACTCCCCCTGTCCATTATTACTACTCCACCTATTTTGTTCTCCGAGTCCTCCAATGCCATACAATTCTAAATAGCTTCTTTTCTAAGCTGGGAACTAAAAAACAAGGATCGTTGCAGACATTGGGGTGAAAGAGCTTGTTGACTCCGTAGGGTAAAAAAAAAAAAAGCCACAGGAAAAGATTTGGAAGATACTGATGCTCTCAAGAAGGTCAAAACTGTCACAGAGAATAGGGAAGGTCAAAAGTCATTCTCCCTGAGCCTCCAACTTTCTCTGGACTATGCCTTTGCTCATAGCTATTTTTCTGGAATACATATGAAACTAAGGGGAAGGTAATTCAGGCCATAGGTCCCCTATTGTTAAGAAGTCAGCGCATATGTACATGCATAAGTACACAAAATCCAGGGGTGAGATGTGCATGTATAAGACACACAGCTCCATTATTTCATGGCTGTGGCACTGATCAGCATCAGCCAGAACACAGGGTTTTCCACACACATCAGCCTCTTCCTTCTCTTTCATCCAAGCTGACCCTCACTTGGAGTAGAAGAAAAGGAAGACTAGTGCATTTATTGACAGGAAGGGGCAAGGCGAACGGTCCCCTCTTCGTTTCATTTTTTTTCCTGTCCTCTCTGTTCCAGGAAGTGGAGTGATGGTCACACCCTTCATGTTTTTCCTTGGTTCTCCAGGCACTGGAGATACTGGTCAATCCCCACAGAAAGGGAAACTCAGTAGAGGAGGCCTGAGAGCCTCTGGCAAGACTAAATGTAAACCGAAAGAAAAGAGGCGTTCTGAAGTGGGTGCATATGGATGTGGTTGGTCTTGTTTTATTCAAGAAATTTTTTTTAATTTTACATACCAATCACAGATCCCCCTCTCATCCCTCCTCCTGCTCCCCCCCCCAGCCTTCCCCCTCCACACCCCCATCCCCTCCTCCGAAAGGGTAAGGCCTCCCATGGGGAGTCAGCGAAGTCTTACAGCTGAAGTAGAAGTCAAAATGAGGCAAGGATGAAGTGGGACTGCTCTCTTTCTCACTCCAACTCTATCCAACTCTCCTCTCCAGCTTGGCCTTGGCAAATGACACCGTAGGTTGCTTGGAGTCGGCAATAGGAATCCCACTATTAAATTCCCTAAAATCTATAGTTTTCAATTCCTTCCTACTCCAAAATACGGTTTGGATGGTCTGATGGTCATAGTTCTCAATATAACATACTCAGGGTTCCACTGAATTGGAATCTGACATTGACACAGTTCAGTGTCAGTAAAACCTATGTATGTGAAGGGCTGAATGGATTGTCAAGGAAGAACTTGAGTTTTCTGCTTCACAAGTATAAAATAAAAAGAAGACTTTTCTGGAAATAGTGAGATTCAGTGGAATGCTTTCTAGCACTCCTGTGTCCACCCTGAATGCTTAATGGGAAACAGATGGAACTCCATGATTATATCAGTTCCAAACACTGATGTCTTTTAGGGATGAGAGAGTCATTTCACCAGATAATGAGCTACTATTTGGGATTTTGCCAGAATTAATTATGCAGGAAGGCGGGTTTCCCTTTTACATTTCGTGCTATTGTATATGAAGACTTGTCATTAACCTTAAAGTTAGAATTTCAATTTCTGTTCCAGGTAGAATTGTGGTAAAAGTAACCTCATCCCACAATAGCTGATAGGATTTCACGTGTTACTTCGTGTTAGGCAAAGGGTTCCTTTAACCTAGTCAAAGAAGCTGCGGGGCTGGATGTGGGAAAACTGGCAGAGTGTACTGGTTACTCTATTTGTACAACGCAATGTGTCCTACTCTCTTCTCCTCCTTGTGCCCTCTGCTGATTCTGAGGAAGTTGACACAAAAGCTATATCCTGCCTCTCATCCTCCACGAAGAAGGCCTTCAGTTCGCCAGCTCCTCCCCACATCTCTCGTGGGGGAGTGGTTAGAGTTCCTACCTTTGTGTTCCATCACCCTCATAGGAGGACAGGAAGTGAGGTTTGAAACTCTTGCCACTAACTAGACTGAGGACTCAGCCGAGTCAATGACTGGGTAGTTCCACTTGAACTCCCTGATGCTCTGGTGTGGTTTCTTTGGCATATCCAGGTTCTGCTCAGTAAACTGTAGTTACCGTCAGCACCCTCTTCTGTTCTGATCTTCCCTTGGATCACTGGGAGATTACAGGGTATGTTACCCGTGGCCCTCCATGCAAAATTCTCTCTGGCCTTGGGTGGCCCTGGGATGAGGCTGGTTCTCTGGTGTCCACTCCTCTGGTTTGTCTCCTCATCCCTCTCCTGTTGTTTCCTTAGCCTCAGCTCTTTCTCTTTCCCTCACAGTCATGGTTTTAATGGACTACACATCCTGTCTTCTCTGTTTCACAGCACCACCTGCACCTCTGGACACAGATTGGATCTCTGTTTTGATGCAGTGGGATCAAAGCATAGATATCAAGGGAGACAGGGAGAAGAGCATATTCTGCATAAGGATCTGGAACAGAGGATGATAAAGGGACACAGTAACATCCTCTGAGATCCAGAGGCAAGGACAGACACAGCAAGGTGTAAAGAAATGCTCTGTTAGCTAGGCAATGGTGGTGCACACCACTTGGGAGGCAGAATCAGATAGATCTTGTAAGTCTGAGGCAAGCCTGGTCTACAGAGCAAGTTCCAGGACACAGAGAAACCCTGTCTCAAAAAACCAAAAAACAAACAAACAAAACCCCCCAAAACCAAAAACCAAAAAACCCTCTGCAGTTGGTGAGGATGCAGAAAACTATTTGCCATGAAGGCTGCATGGAGTCTCATTTTTTTTTTGTTATCTCACATTAAGCGACAAGAACAATGCAAGGAATTTAGACTGTTTTTGCGGTGGCGCCACAAGTCTTTGCATTTCACTTTGAAGAAGCATTTGGAATCTATAAACGTTTCACCTGTCCTTTTTCCATCTCTCTTACCATTTGAGCTACCCATATTTCCCATGCTCAGCCCCTTAGCTCTGTTTCTTCCTGTTAACCCTCATTTTGCAACACTCATTCTTGCACAATGCCTGTTTCAGATTTGAAAGAGTATCTGTTGTTTTTCACCCCATTCCTTTTAGGGATAAATCTGCTATTGTTTTTTACTTTTTTGTTTTTGTGTGTATGAGTATGAGTGTTTTCCTAAATTTATGTAACTGCACCATGTGCATGCCTGATGCCTGGGGAGGCCAGAAGAAAGTGTTGGATCCCCTGGAACTGAAGTTACAGGCCGTTCTGAACCACCATGGGGTGGGAACTGAATCCAGGTCCTCTGCAACAGTGGCAAGTGCTCTTAACAGATGAGCCATCTCTCCAGTCTTTAGATAGAGGTTGATGTTTGCTTGGTTTTTAGTTCTTCAAGACAGGGTTTCTCTGGGTAACAGCTCTGGCTGTTCTGGAACTCGCTCTGTAGATCAGGTTGGCTTTGAACTCACAGAGATCCTCCTGTCTCTGCCTCCCAAGTGTTGGGATTAAAGGCGTGCGCCACCACCACCTGGTTTGTTTTGTTTTTTAGCAGTAGCTATTCCTCAAGTTTTTTCTGACTATAAGGTAACGTCATGTTGATCAGATGAATTATCCTCAATCTACCTCGGCCTTGACAGGTTTATTTACATTCCACCCCACCCCCCAACAAAAATTGACACCTGGGGGTTTCACTTCTTGGAAAAGAGAAAAGGCTTTAACAAGGTTCTCTAGGTATAGCATTTCTGATACAAAAGGTACTGTGCGCTATTTTGTATGAAAGAGAACTGACCAAGACAGTGCTGTAGTTTCGAAGTCATGTCCTCACGAGCACCATAATAAGGTATTCAGAACCTCCCATCGACTCTGCTTTGCTCTCAAGAACTCCTTTTCAGTAGAGAAGACAGACAGGCTTTCCAGAGGAACGTAATGGATGTCAGTCCACAAATGACTTAGGGAAAAGAGTCTTTGCTACTGAATGGCCAAATGCTGCAGATATGCATAGACACATATTTAACAGCAAAAGAGACATGATATGCAGCACAATCTCTCACCACCTTGAGTCTGAGAGCTTCTACGTGGACTGTCAGGATGGATGGACTGCTCTGTCCAGCATAACTGGAGAAAGTCAGATGAAAACATACGGAATCAGCAGCGCCAAATGGACTCAGTGGGTATTAAACTGCACAAAGCACCTGAAGCTGGGAGGAGAGAAAAGTGCGGAGGGGCTAGGGGAGAACTTGGAGGACAGGAACTGGGGAATGCATTCGTTCCAAACACATTCTAGACAGAGATGAGTCTTAAACAAAATATTTAGTAAAATATTTTAGTAAACGTTGAGTAAAAAAAAGACACACAAACCAAAAGAAGTGAAAATACAACTTGTATTCAACACCAGAACTAAGGATAAGTTTTATTTCCCACTCTTTCTGGAGGGCTTCCCAGGATTTGGGGTAGGCATAAGCATGTAAGTAATGTGGTGTTTGGGTAAAGGCCACTTCCACCCTGGCGTGGCTCGTGTCAGCATCCACAGCCACTTGGACAGATCTGAATCACTCTTTTGCCTCCCCAGCTGTCTGCCCAGTAAAAAGCTCAGCACATTTTTGGTGCCTTGGCTAGGCTTTAAGTATTCGTCTGTCTTCCTCCTGGTGTTCACTCTCGGTGGGCTGGGAATGGTCTCAGGTTGTCCTTTATCCATGACAGTCTCAAGGAGACAGCACAACTGAGAATGCCTCTAAAAGACAATGAAATCCAAATAACCGAGTGGCCCCAGAGATTCTCGTTTTCACATCACCTCCTTACTCCCCCATATTACTGTCCATACGGGAATCCTAACTCATCTATAGTTTCAATCTCCACAGCTTCAGTTACCAGGGGTCAATCATGATCTGAAAATAGTAAGTGAGAAATTCCGGAAATGAAACAGTTTCTAAGTTTTAAATCACGTTCCTTTGGGAAGTGGCATGGTGGAATCTCATGCCATTTCCCACTGTCCTGCCTGGGAAGTGCATGAATCATCTCTGTGTTCAACATATCCAGCTGTGTATGTTCACTTCTGTAGCATCTGTAACTTGTGTCCAAGTTACCCTATTTTTTGTTAGTAATGCCCCCCAAACATAAAAGCAATAATGCAAAAGATGTGCCAGGACATAAACATGGAAAGACAGATTTACTCCAGGACTACACAGCAATGCTGCAGGACATGCAGGAAAAGGCATAGTATAGTGGGTCTATCGGATACCCACTGGGGGTTTGGAACACATTCTTTCGCAGAATGGAGCTTTTACAGGAAAAAAATGATAATCTATTTTAAATGTGAAACAAATATGTGCCGTTGAAAAATTATATTCACGGCCAGGTGGTGGTAGTGCACGCCTTTTATCCCAGCACTCAGAAGGCAGAGAAACAAAGACAAAATAAAAAAGTTATTGATCTGACTTGATCAGTACACCCTCTATATACATGCACGGAAATACCAAACTATAAATATGTACAATTACCATTACATTTTAGCCAAGATAAGTTAAATCCACATAAATACAGAAAACAGGGTCTGAAATAATTTACAGCATTCCCATGCTGCCAGTTCTTTAGCTATTAGAACGAAAAATACATGGGGCAGGAAAGGAGATAAGAGGCAGTATCTGTTGTCGGTCTATATATGTTATTTTCATGTGTATTTCTAATACAAGCCTGAAAAATTGTGTCCAGACCGATTTTGCCAATGGTGTTGAAATGCTATCAAGGTTCTTTGAAGGCAGAGATTTGAGACACAGTAAGACAGGACTGAGGCAGGCTGGTCCACAGATGTGTCTCAGCTCTCCCCCCCCCCCCCCCCAAAACAGGGTTTCTCTGTATAACAACCCTGGCTGTCTTGGAACTCACTCTGTAGCCCAGGCTGGCCTTGAACTCACAGAGATCTGCCTGCCTCTGCCTCCTGAGTGTTGGGACTAAAGATATGTGCCGCCACTAGCCCAGCTCTAGGCTTTCTTTAAAAGAGTGGTTCTCAACCTTTCTAAAGCTGTGACCCTTTAACACAGTTCCTTGTGTTATGGTGACTCCTCCAACCTTAACATCATTTTCGCTGTTACTTCATAGCTGTAATTTTGCTACTGTTATGAATCGTAATCTAAAAATGTGATATCACAGTCTCTGATATGTGGGGTCACACCCCACAGATTGAGACCACTGTTCTAAAAGAATGATCACTAGCACTGGACCCAGTCACAGAAAAAGCACCCCAAACCAATCACAAACGACCAAGCAATGAAATACACAAAAACAGTCCGGGAAGCTGACAGTGGTCCTCAAGGCAATGAAGCGGAGCTGCTGGAGAGTAAAGCCACGCCCAGCAGAGCTGCTGGAGAGTAAAGTCACGCCCAGCAGAGCTGCTGGAGAGTAAAGTCATGCCCAGCTTCATCTCTAAAATGCTCTTATCCAGAAGGAAACAGGAGAGATACCTGAGGTTGAGGTCTCCCGAAACTCACTGGATGATTAGGTTTGAAAAATGGAATGAACACTGTTAGGACCTTGGGGTACCTCCTACCACAGGAGAAACTAAAATGAGAACAGCTTTCATGATCTAAGGAAGAGTCTGAGGGCAAGATAACTGAACGTCCCAAGAACAGCTCCAGGAATCTACACCGAAACCCAGTATTCAGTCTCCCAGCACCCTCTACTTACTGTTTTCAGTCCTAAATCGGGAGTAACCTAGGTGGAGGTAGCCAAGACAAAAACTTCCCATTGTATGTAGTACCAAGATTCTGAGATCCATTGTGAGTCATCATGACTTCTTAACCAATCAGGTCCCAGGACATGGGTGGGGAGGGGAGGGAATATGGAAAGTGAAGAAATGGAACTTTTTCTCTCCCTTCTTACCTCTTCTTTTTCTCTCCTTTCTTACCTCTTTTCTAGATCAGTACTGCTTCTTCAGGAACTGGCTACTCAGTTGTCTGGGGGAAAAATATCCACAGAAATTAAGATAATTGTAGCAACTTTGCTCATTATAGACAAATTAACTGAAATGATAAACACCAACCCAGCTGCACAGTGGCAAGATGGGGTTTGTCATTTAATTAGTAGAAAATCGGTGAGCTCAGTGATGAGGAACACGGCTTTAAGTAAAGAGTGTTCTGGTTCCTAACCCAGCCTGGGACGGCTTGCTTATGTAGCTAAAAACTGTTGTCCACAGGTCTTTCTTCTCCAATTCAAACACCTTAACCTTTGGGTGTTTGTACGGATTTACTGAGATGGAATACGAAACGTACCCAGGAACAGTGACTGCCTTCCAGTGAGCACTCGGGTTCTTTCCTCTCCTCCCTATGATCGTCTCCCCCTACTTCCCACTTAAGCCGTTTCTATTGGATTTACTTCCTTCCTTGAAAGTTCTCCTTATTGGTGGGGTTGCTTCCCATTCCTCCCCCTGCTTCCTACTCTCAAACAGGAGTTCTTGGGATAAGGGAAAGCTCATGGTACTCACAGTATCCAAGGGGAAGGGTTCTTGAATCTCAAGCTGGTCTGTAGTCTGTGACTGATAGGCAAGTTCTTGGCTACAGAATCACTTGTATTCACAAGAGAGGCACTACATTTGTGTCCCTGGTAATTCTGCCGCCATCTGCCTTTGAGAAAATCAGCATGTACCTTACTCCCAGAGTGCTAAGGCAGACTGCCCTTGTTTTATGCATGAGCTTAATTCCAGTTCTTACTGGAACTGGGGACCCTGTGCTCTGTCTGTTGACGGAGTGGGCCCCAGTCTACAAAGCATTATTAGCCTGAAGCACTGCTGTTGGTACCCTGGTGAGTCATGATTCTATGTCACATCTAAGATCATGGAATCCTCCAGCCTATAGACATATCAACCTTCAGCCTGACTCCAGTGCTGCTGATGGCAGAGATGGATATTTGACCTCAGGCAAGACATTGCATTTTCATTAACGCTGTTAAGAGGTACTGACGAGAAGGTGAATCTCATGTCTAACTGGAACAAGAGTTAGGACACTAGCAGGAACATCCTGTATTTTAAAGGGCAATTGTATATGGCACGTAATGTGTGCGAGTTCATTGCTAGTCCGTAGGAGTCCATACACAGTAAAATGTTCCCTTGCTTTGAAAATCAACTTGCTATTCAAACATTTCTCCACTTTACCTGGACTGGTTAAGAACACAATTGCTAACATAAGGTATATTGCACAGAGAAACCCTGTCTTGAAAAACCAAAAAAGAAAGAAAGGAAGGAGGGAAGGAAGGAAGGAAGGAAGGAAGGAAGGAAGGAAGGAGGAAGGAGGGAAGGGAGCTTGTCACAGAATGCCTTATACTACTATTAATAATAATTGCTGACGGATTTCTGTCTTCACTTTAAGAATCCTGCCCTGCACTTCCCCTGTAAGCTGCACTGTATGAATAACATCCTCTTGGTGGATGTGCCCGATCTTAGTTTTGAAATCCAAAGCTCTCTTAGAGGGAGAAAGCCCCCACTGCATCTCTGTGGAGTTGCAACAGGCACCAGGACCCTAAGCAGTTTCTTTGGCTCACTGTCATTGGGTGTCTTTATCTCTTGGCTTGTTACTGTTCCTAACTCACCTCCCTGTGGAAAGGATACACTAGGGACTGCTTCTCCCTAATTTTTGGACTCTTCCATTTTCTATAGTCTACTTATGTCCACTGGCTTCTACTTTACGTGAATTCAATGTCTGCTTGTGTATTTCCAGACTCTGGCACAGCTATAGACAGACTCAGCAACAAAAACATTCGAACGACACCAACATGTTCTAGTCATTTGGGGGAATCTGGAGAGAACACGTTCTTATTTAGAACTCTGTATACTTTCTGCTGATACTTTCACATCAGCCCACTTAGAAATGAAGAGCATTCCATCCAACATGAGGAGCTAGAGTCTGTGAGCATCATGAGTGATCTAAAGATGCCAGGAGCTCCGAGAAAATCCATTTGTGCTACAGTTAAAGGTATGTGACAGAGGGGCAGCGGACCTCCTGGAGTCTTTAGACCACTTCCAATGGTCCATAGGCTTCTGACACAAATAGCCCTCCTTAGTCCCACATGATACATCAGAAGCCTGGCAACTATTATTAAACTACTGGGTTCTCTTGGAAGTAGGTTCTGAGCCTAGCTACCCCTAATGACTATTTGAGTCTTTTGCTCTAGGAGCAACACTCCCACAAACTCGGAAGTTACTGGTCTTACCTATTACACAATACAGCCAAACACGGTTTATAGGTGTATCCTACATTTAGAGAGGGGTAATTGTCTCTGCCTTTAGCAACTTGTTAAATACCATAGTACTGAAGGAACTTTTGGCTTCACAGGCTCTTGGGGATCAATTAAGACATGACAGGGACGTTGATTTGGTAAATGTGGAGAAGATAGGACTTGACATGTCTTCCTTCAACTTGAAAGTAGGCATCCTTCAGTAAGAAGCGCAGACATTGTTCAGTCTTTGCACTTTGATATATTGAGGGGACGCTTCTCACAAAGTGGAGGATTACTAGTCCAGGGTGAATGAACCGCAGAGTCTCAGGCAGGATTGCAGCAGAGGTACTCTCGTCCCACTGCAGACAGAGGGGGCAATTCTATCCTTCACTGCCTTCCATCCATATTACCTCCTTCTTATGATGGGAACTTAGCTGGGAAGAGATGGAGGCAGAATGCTTCTGTAAAGTGCAGTAACTGCTAGAACTATTA